CCCCACACAGCGGGAAATTTTAGGAGATATTTATAATAGGCGGTCAGAAAGTCAGCTGGAAATTTTCTGTCTATTTTTACATAAAAAAACATTTGGAACATTTTATTATATAAAAGTAAAGAGTGTTACATTTTAAACATTATTTTTTTTTATTTCTAGAAAAGGATTTATTTGTTTTTGTTTATTTTTTGCTATTAGTAATAATAAAAATAAAAATAAATCTTAATCTAAAACTACACCCAGAAAAATGATGGACAACATTTTAGGTCATGCATGGACTAAAAGTTCCTTTTTAGGTCATGTACTGCCTAAAAATTTAAATTTTTGGTATATTTGCCCTACTATTTAGGTCCCGTATAGCCTAATATTTTAGGTCATCGTGGGCATTAAAATTAATGCATTTTACCTAAATAAATTTGCACGGAACTCTGATACCGTTCTAGCGACGCTATAATTCCCAACCAGTTATAGCGCGGCTTGCATGGTAACCCGCTTCGATCGTTGAATAAAACAGCGATTTCACTGCTGAACAGTGAAGCCTCTTCGCTCGTTTTTGTGTGTTGGAATAATGACGACTTCTTGAAGACTAAGCCGACATTGACCTCGAGTTAGCTATAAATTTCTCTGTATTTACTTTATAATATGAAACATTTTTCAGTACAAATTTTTAGGCCAAAGAAAGCCTAAAATTTTGGATAGGGGTTTTCTCATTTTTTAAAGGCAGCCAATTACCTAAAATCTAGGCCAAAAATTACCCCCTTTTAGACCATTAATGGCCTAACATTTTATGTCATACAATCCTAAATTTTAGGCCATTCAAGGACTTAGCTCCAGTTTTAGGCCAATTTTACCTAAATTCTAGGCCATTTTTTAACATTTTAGGTCATTTTTTTTTCTGGGTGTATAAAATAAAGTAAAAGTTTCTGTAATTTTTTCAATTTTAAATTTTAATTTTTAATTAAAGAGGATTTTTCTCCGTGCTCGGAAGCCCAAGGACAATCCTCGCCGGCTCACTTGAGCGGCTGCAACTTGGAAATCTCAAGTGGACGAAGTCCGGGATGTGTGACTCCTTCTCCTCTTTATCTTCCCCTTGCAGCTCCAAATCTCCCCGGCTCTGTTTGCTTTGGTGCTTGGCTTGTATTGATATTTCACGAGAAATCAACACAACATACAAATAGTCAAGCACAGGCTTCCTCTCCACCTATTCCCCCTCGGTACGCCCCTTTCCCTCGAACCACTCACCTTTGAGAGATTTCCAACTTTGTCACCATTTGCAGCGGAAATGAAAAATCAAATCGAAGAAAGGCACAGGAAATGTAGCTCTTCGCTTTTCACTTCAGCTCTGCTGGATGTGTGTGTGTGTGTGTTTGTGCTGTTTAAATTTAGCCAATGTCTATAGAAGTGACTGCTGGAGAGGCTCTCCACTGTCTACTACAAAACTCTCTCCATCTGGATCTGTAAATGTATTTGTAAATGTCCTTGCCGCTCCACGTGGCTCCCTATATGTGTTTGGTAGTACTAACACACATGTCAGTGTGCCGAACGTAATACCTATAGGAAGGTATATCCCACTCCAATCCGGAGTAAAGCCTAGACATCAAATTGGGTTTTTATTTTAAAGCAGGCTTTTTGATACTCTTTAGGTAATATCTAAAAAACAAAGAAAGTTGAATAATAAATTTTAATTTATTCTAATCTATTCATATTTTAAATCATTAATCATAATACATTAACACTATGAGTAAAGAGAATACAAATTGGAAAGTGCAATAATTTAGTTCTGTATTTCTGCTGAATGTACAAATCTTTGTATTATATCTAAGCTCTCAGCTTATGGTCATTATCCCTACAATTCATATCTTAAGAGCAACTCTTGTTAACTGCATTGCACTGCATCCAACAATAGCCTCTCCGCCATTCAATTTGATTTGGTTTTATTTTCTGAAGAGTAACCGAACTTCGATTGCGCCAAGTCAGCGCCATTCACTTGTTTTCTCTGGGCATTTGTCTGTGCTTGAGACGTTTTTATCGTCTTGGCCATAAGCCTAAACAAATACAAACAATTTTGCCTCAACTGAAAAGAGAAAGAAAATACGAGAAAAACGGAAACAGTAGAGCCAACAAAAAAATTGAAGGAGCACTGAAAAACAAATTGTAGAAATCTCGCAAAAATATAAACAGAAATCAGCAGCCCAGCAGGGAGAAAAAATGCGACGAGAATAGAAAGAGCAAACGTTGTGGAAATAGAGGAAAATCAATTGATTTCAGCTCAGACAGCTCTGAGCAAAAACCATACTCATACTCAACCCAAACCCAAAGCCCAAAGAACTGTTGCTCTTGATTTATTGAAATCATTTACCGCAAATCAGACAATTCCCGCACAAACTGTACAACTAATTAAATGATGAATGCCTGCGACAATAGCTCGGGGACTTGTGCTCACCTCACCGAGTGCACAGCAAATAGAATTCCCAGAAGTTTGATTGAACAATGAATGATTTAATTAATAAATAAACAGGTGTGTGCCTACGTGTCTCTCGTCTCTGGAATATCGGAATATCGTTGCCCATGCGAAATTTCAATTGCAGCACAAGTGTGGCACAACAATTAATTATTGAGCTTGACTTGTGCGTCTTGTTCTCGGCCTTCCACTCCCATCGGTGCAACGGTGCGTATGCGTGACAACGTGTTGCAACTTGCAACACATTGGTCGATTCTCGATTGTCGAAGGCAGTTTGCCGTTTGCAGTTAAAGTTTACAGCTTACAGCTCACTGCCCACTCTGCCATTTAGTCGGCTGTTTACTGTTTGCCAAATTCCGCCTGCCTGTTTGATTTCAACTGCAAAATGGACCACAAATCAAATGGACAAAGCTGCAAAGTCACACATCCGATGGACAGAGCGATTGAGAATTGGGCAAATAGAATACTGAAGGCCCAGTTTCTGTTTCAGTTTCGGTTTCAGTTCGAGTTAGAGTTACAGGCAAGGCCAGTTGCAACATTGATTTGGCCATCAAATCGAATTACCATATGCCGGGCAAAAAGGTTAATTCCCGAAACTCAGTCGAGGCAATCAATTCGCCATTGTCGATTGTGTCGAGGTTGCTGCTCAATATTCTAGCGAACATTTCGTATTTATTGCGGTCTGCGCTAAGGAACTCCAAGGAGGTTTTTGGGTTGAAAGGGTTCGGGTTCGGGTTCTCCCTCCTTCTGGGCCGCAAACTAGTTGGCTGAGTACTTCTCGATGCGCGGCAACCGCAACACAGCACACAGAAACTTTCGCAATCGAAAATGATAGCCTGAAGGGGGCAGCAGCAGCAGCCGAGAAAATTTGTGTGAGTTTCCAATGCAGCAGCTGCTGTTGCTGGCTAGCAGTGGGAAAAACCTCCTTCTCTTCCATTTTCCTGGGAAAACCCAGCCAACTGCCACTTGCCGTTTGGCGAATTGTTTCATTCTCGCAGCAAATGCCTAAGCCATCAAAGCCGCATAATACTGAAAATTTCGAAGCCTTGTCGAATATGTTGCCTACCTTGGGGCGCTTTGGGTACTTGCTACTTGCTACTTGATGAAAATGCAATTAGTGCGCGATTTGAATTTGATACCCCAGTGAATTCGCACTTCAAGGAAGAACTTGCCTTCTTCTTCTCGAAAGACAAAAGAATTCAATTATAATTGCATTATGGCTAAAAGTTTCGGCTCATCATAATGCGATCAAAATATTGCAAATTAAACGCATTTGTAAAATCCATTGAAATTGCCTGCTATTGGGGAAATGGGAAATTGGTAAATGGGAAATGGAAAATGGGAAAATGGAGAACGGCAAATGGCGAGTGGGGGTCGATTAGGCAGGCGAGTTGTCGCACTTAAATGGCTCAATCAGACGTGAAATTTGTTCATTTGCGCCAGCCGAGTGCATGAACAAATGCATGATTGAATGGAAGGCACACACAGATACTCACGCACACACATTCAGCATACAGAGAAAATCAGGTGCCTAGACATGTAGAGAGCGTGACGTCAAAAGGTGAACGAAATGAAATTGAAATATAAATACAAAACGCATCAGGCGCATAAGCAGAGCAATCAAGCGCGAAATCTGTGCACAGCAATGCATAACTGCAGTCTCCCTCTTTCTCAGAAAGAGACGGCTAGAACAAAGCCAAAAGAGACGGGTAGAGTGGGGGGCTCCATTCACTGTCAACTAGGAATGTGTAGACATCATTTAAGTCACTCCCGCATAAACACAAATATACCTCGATAAACAGACAGAGAAGGGGATAGCGTAGAGTTAATAGAAAGAGAGGGCCTTACACATACGGCTGTCAATAGAAAGAGATGGCCGATTGGTGAGCCGCCAATACATCGACATTATTGACTTGCTGTCGTGGCATGCAAATAACAATGCCAAGCCCCACTGCATTTTCCCAATTCGACCCTCTCATCTCGAGGGCTGCGAAAATATTTGCCAATCGAGACAAAAAATTGGCAGCGATGCGAGTCGGGCAAAACAAACCCGGCTAAACAATAAACAATAAGGAAAACACATGCAACCGACAACAATGACAGCGTCAACGGCCAACTAAAAACTTTTCCATTACAATAATACTGATATCTAAAAAAACAACGAACCCATTCGAACCCTTAGTTGTATTTCATCCAAAGTCCACAACTTTTCATCCAATAAAGTTAGCTCACTCCTAAACGGTTTAACTTAAAACTAAAGGTAAATTTATTTATATATAAAAAATTCTGGCGGAAGCGCCAAGGGCTTCTCGTGTGTACTTTTTTTTTAGTTTAATTGCTGACCTAAGGTAACCGGTTTTGGGTGCGCCTCAATCTTTAGAGATGCTCTTGAACAAGTTGGTGACTCAGCACCCACAACCCATTGTTTAATTACCAACAGAAAATCAGTGAGCAATTTAGTTGAATCGCAACATGCCAAGCGAATGGGGTGAGCTTGTAACTTATAGTCTTTACAATTTATAGAAAATCACACCTGCCTGTGCCTGTTTTTTGCTTAGTTTTCCTGATCATCTGCCTGATTCCGATGGCCAATGGGGGCACTACCTTGCCATCGCTAAGCGCCAGTCCCATAGTCTTTGCCCGGAATCTTTTCCGCGTCCTAAACGATGAAGATCCCCCCGTGAACATGATGGTTTCCCCGGCTGCTGCCCGTAGTGCCATGACCTTGGTTTTCATGGGGGCCGGCGGGAAAAGCGCGGATGAACTGCGTTCCAAATTGATTTTGGGCGTGGCCAATAAGTCGGAAATCGCCAAACAACATGCCGAATCCTGGAGCGAGGAGTGTTCTTGTGCGAAAAAAGGAGTTGCCCTGCGATTGGTTACCCGTTTGTTCGTAAATGAGGAGGAAAAAATACGACCTGAATTTAATACCACGGCCATGGAGTTCTTTAATGCTCAGGCTGACTCTCTAAATTACCTAAACCCCGAGGATTCAATTAAAAAAGTCAACAAGTGGATGGAGAAGCAAACATTTTACACTGTGAGGAATCTTTTCACCCCTGATGTCTTTAATCTCGTGTCTAGTGTTATTTTGGTCAACTCCCTGTTCTTTCGAGCCAAATGGGATAAGTTGTTTCCTCAGGATCTTACAGAGGTTCAAGACTTTTGGATCAATCCTCGCCAGCGGATGGAAACGCCGATGATGCGTCAGATTGGCCAGTTTCGCTATGGCGAGTCCAAGAAACTAAAATCACAGATACTCCAGTTGCCCTTTGAGAAGTCCAACTTGACCATGATGATCATTCTGCCCACGGATATCGACGGGCTGCCGAAATTGGAGGAAAAACTTGGGCAGCTTGATATGAACGAGGTGGCCGCCAAGAGTTTAATGAACGAAGTGGATGTGACGATTCCAAAATTCAAGATCGAGTGCGAAATAGATCTTAGAGTTCCACTACAGAAGGTAAGGAAATTATATACATTTTTGATAGCTAAGTATAACTGATTGATCTAATTAATATTTAAGCTGGGAATCAGTCGTATTTTTGAACCTGGCCAAGCGGATTTGAGTGGCCTCTTTGCCAAAAAAACACCACAAAGGATTTCGGAGGCCAGGCACAAACTATTTCTAAATGTTACCGAAACAGGTTGCGAAACAGCTCCAGAAACGGGTAAAACAAATTTAAAAGCATATATTTTTTAGTTATTTGTATTTTAACTATATATTTAGATGTCCAACCCGAAGTCTTCTATAAGAATCCGGATCGCAAGGTCTTCCGGGCCGACCGACCATTCGTTTTCGCCATCCGCAGCAAGAAAAACGTTTACTTCGTCGGCCATTTCATTAAGCCCTAATTGCGGGAGGAGTTTTGCAAATATTTTTATGGTGATGGCCCGCAGGCAATCACGGCCAAATGGCTGTATCCCAATGAACATCAAATTATTGCCAAACAAATGTACACAATGCATCCGAAATACAAAAAGGCAGCAGGCACAGGCAAACATTTGTGCGGTGGAGAGATTTTGGGGTGCCAAATAAATGGCAACATGGCTGCCGAGGCAGATCATTGCGAAAATTCGCAGATAGGAGAGATGTAAGGAAAAGGGTGGGAGGTTGGAAGTGGAAAAGAAGGGGATGGGAAATGGGGGAAAGGCAACAAAGAAACGGCGGCTGGCCAAACCAAATGAAAAGTAACTTGAACAAAATGGGTATAAGACCAAACACTTAAATACTCTTTTAAAATTTAGATTCTATAAAAGTAATATATTTTGAAGTAGGTAAGAATTATTTATATTTAAGTTTTATTTTTTTATTTTTTATTTTTGTCCAATTAATTAAATAATTTTTCCTATGGTCTCCGATTTTATTTCATAATTATATCAATGCAATAAATACAAAACAACTAAAACGAAAAATTTTATAAAAGAAATTGCGGCTTAAAGCGGCCACAAAGGACTTAAAAGGGCCAGTAGAAATATGCTTACCCCCCGTGAGAGTAGAGAAAAGCGGCTGCAAACGAGCATCGTCGGGATTCTTTTGCCCGGGAAAAGCCAGGGAAGCCAACTTGTTAGCCAATTTTAAATACAACTGCTGCCACTGACAGTAATCAAGATTGCACGGCAATGCCGGCGCGGCTACAACAATGCCAAATGCCATTCCGGCCAGCAAGGGCCAACAATTGAAAAATAAGTAATTTCTCAACTGTAGTGAACTTCGCAGAAGAATCAGTGGAGGAGTAGCTGGAGGAGGAGCAGCTGGAGAAGCAGGAGCATCAGGAGCAACATGAACAGCAGCTGAAACAAGCAGGAATAGGAATCAGAATCGGAATCGCAGGAGATGGAGTCGCTCGTCCGGTTGGAAAACGAAAACTTTGCCCGTCCAATTCATCGATGATTGTCGTGCAGCGCGAAGCGATTCTGGTTCTGTTCTCATTTTGTGACTCGGATTGTGATTCCGATTCTGATTCTGGCACCGTCCTGGTCGTCTGCCATCGATGGCCATTCCAGCGGCAGCCGGTGTGGCACAAATGTTTATCTTTCCCCCCGATTTTTGCCCCAACGGAGATGGAAATGGAGATGGAGATGGAACTGTAGAACTCTTCCGTCATCGCAGCGGAAGTGCAGCTGCACAAACTTTAGAAAGCACCCAGGGGAAGTGCTCGTATCAAACTCTTTCTGTTTCTGTTTCTGGCCTTGTCATCTGTGTCAAATGCTAATGCAGAATGTCACCCTAATCAAATTACCCAAACTGGGAGGCACAACAAAATGTTTTCGATTGCAATGAATAATTACAAATAAATATGGAATTTCATATCGCATACTTGGTCATCGCTTCCTACATATATAATCCAATTAATTTAATTGCTATGCATAGGCTCGTGCTTGATCCATTTGAAATGCCAATATCTAATGGCCACAATTCTGCAGTTGAATAATCTATGGGCAAAAAATTGACCTCGCTTTTTCCGTGCATAATTAATTTGAATATGAATATGAATATTATGGGCCAGTAGAAACACAGTCCTTTGAAATATGGCCGAATGCGGAATGTGGAGCTAGGACCGATTTGGAAATGTAATTTAAAACCAATCAAACGCATCCACATGCAACAACGAGCGGCAAATGCCGGCGGTCACAAAATGCATTAAGCATCTTTGTTGCCCTTAGCCAAGAGATTGTTTACAGGGGGTGGTGCACTGGGGCATTGGAGCATCCATAGCATACATAGCATCCATATCATCCCAACGCAGCCCAAACTTGATATAGGTGGAGGCAATTGCCACACAATGGGCAACCAATCGATTTAATAGCTGCAACAATAGGGGTAACACAATCTTCGTTATGAAACACTCACTTGGCCATGTGCAAAATTAGGTTCACGAAATTTAGACAGCTTAACAATGGGGTCTTTGTCTTCTGGGCTTTTAGTTTAAAACGATATCATAAGCTAATAAGCTTAGTATAATTCGTAAGTACTGTTTCATTTCTCAGGAGGTAAACAATAGGCAACGATTCCCTAAATATACAACAACAAAAATATATAATTTTATAAATATTTTTGACCAGATCGATAGATTAATACTATGCCCTTTGAGATAATATTAATACTCCAATACATTCCAGCTCTCCTCTGTAAGTCACCATTTGCCAATGACTGTGGCAAAGTTAATCAGCTAACTGCTCAGCCAGCCACGCCCCCTGGCCGCCTCCGCCCCTCGACTGCACTGTGGAGCGCATCTCCCGGGGGTCTAAAACTAACTTATTTATGGGTATCCCTGACTTTGACTTACGTGCCTGCCATTCGAATGAAGTTTTACGTCTTGCGAATCATATTCATATGAGCAGTGTCCTGTAGGTTCGTGTGGGTATTACCATTTGCCAGGGATCGGAGTCCCAAGTCCTTCGCCCTTCGTCCTGAATATCCTGAGTGTCTATGGCCGACCGTGCCACATGCTGCAGGAAATTACATTTCAATTTTAAAACGACTCTCATTGCCAGCTTCCGTTACAGTTGCTCACCTCCATTTGCCCATCGCGGCAGGTGGCCGTGTGGCAGGTGCGGCAGGTGTGGCATTTCGGGGCAGGGGGGCAGGCAGGTGAGTGAGCGGCGGCACACAAAATGGCCTGCCATGAGCGGCACTTATCGCTCGACTGCAGCTTAAGCGCCGGTTAATCCATCACAAAAGTGCATGCATTCCTCTGCCCAACCGAAGCACTTCACATCCCCTTCCACATCCCCTTCCACCTTCCGCATCGCATCCCCCCAACAATTTCCATGTGCTGCGGGGCGTGCAAAGTGCTGCCGTTGCTGATAATAAGCCGTCATCCAGGCAAAACTCCTGATGAGCTGAAACTGAGGCTCGAACTGACGCTGCACCGAAAGAAAAAGCTCTATTAAAGGTCCATTTATTTTCATTTTAATGGACTGACTTTTCCTAGAAATCCATAATTCAAAAAAATTTGTCAGCATTAAATAGTAAATAATAAGAACTATTTTCTATTTTTTAATTTTCTTGTAATTTTTTATTTTATTAAACTTTTTACTTTTATTTTCTTGCCGTGTAAACTTTCATAGTTGGACACGGCATACGGCTTTTCATTGCGGTTACGCATACGCCGCGTTGCCCCGCTGGCAGACGTGCGTGCCATAAATAGCGGATGGAAAAGGTGTGGGCGGGCAGGTGGGAAATGGAAGTGAAAATGGCAGAGCTCATCCATTCCACTTGCAGCGAATTGCAAGTCAACGCCAAGTGTCTTAAGTATGCAAAAAGAAAATCTGCGAAGGGCGGGACGCTGAACGCTGAACTCTTAACTCAAGTCTGGACAGGTGATTTAAAAGCCATTTGTCAGCCGAGAATGGAAGAGGGGAGCGGGGAGAGCTGTGGATGAGCTGGTCTGGGTGATTGGCTTGGGTCAGTGGAATTATTCAAATTATCCCTAGGAAGATTTCGCTGTCAGGATCCGGCGGCGGCAGACGACTGCATTTGTTGTTTGGGGGGCGGCAATCAAATGGCCTTAGTGGCATTCTTTTATCGCCCATCCGCATCCGCGTCTGCACTCCACGCAATCCTCCAGTTGACAGCCAACAGCCAGGAGCCAGAAACCGGGATCCAGCATCCAGAATTCAGAAACCATGGGCCATGGGCCCCATTTGTTGTCGCTGATGGCAACCGACCGGATATCCCATCTATTATAAGTGCTTACCACTCGCCGACGAGCATTGACATTTGGCTAATGGCGAAAATGTCACCGAAATGCAGACAAACCCAGACGCAGACGGGCAAATAAACAGCTCTCTTTGGAAGGGGCGTGGTCCAGCTTAACGTGGCCCCTCACACAAATTTTGGAATCTCGAAATAAGAAGGGAAAATGAAACGGAAATCATAATGCCGCAACCTTGACCCATCGGAGTTTTCAATCAGCTTACCTATAATTTCGCTTTTTAAGGCCCATCAATCATTTTTCAACCATCAACTAAGTAAATAAAGCTGTACTACTGCGAGGTATTAAAGCATACATTGCCTACTCTTGGTTAGGAGAAATCCATTTTAATTATTTGGTTTCATATGGTTCAAAGGTAAAACTTCCTTTAAATAGCCCTTCTACAAGGTTTCACAGACATATTTTAAGCAGAGTGTATAAAATTAATGTTATTTTATATTATTAAATACTTTTTAAAGTTTCTCTATTTTAATTGAAATGTTTCCTTTCTTCCTGTGTAATTTAAAATTATGATTGGAACTGCATGGGCTCAACTATTTATCAAATCATATCAAAACCGGCGGAGGGGGGTCAGATTTCTTATCCACAGTCCCGCACATAATTCATTTAGCAGCGGGAAGTTGTGGTTGTGAGTGGAGCAAATCAAAAGCAATCATAAATCAAATCATTTGATTCATTGATTACATAACACATGCAATGCTGTGCGTTTGTGTGTGTGGCAGCTGTCTTAACGCGCCTATTTAATCAACCCAAACCCCTGGCTTGCCTTTTTCCATCGCCCGCCCAATGAACCCAAGACCATATGGGAGAGGACCCCACAGAGTCAAGGGGCCCGACTATTGATTAATAACAATGCCCAGCATGGGGTAGCGAAAGAAAATTGCCTGCCTGGATTTGCTAATGGGGCATAGCCCCCCTCCCATCGGATTTTCCCCTACGATGATTGGAGGCCCTCAACTTAAAGCTGTTGCAAAAATATGGCAACAATTAAAACTGCTGTGGCCCATTGTCTGAGCACACATAAAAGCAATTAACTGTCCGATTTGATAACAATGACAAATATAAATATACGTGTGTGCACTGAGAGAAATTGTTACAGGTTCAATAAATACCATTTTAAATAAATTAAATTAATTACTCTTACAAGCAAGAGAGAAAGGTTATATACCCGTTACTTAGCCAAAGTAAGTGCGAGGTTGATGGGGATATGCATGCACGAAAGCAACTGCTTGAACTGCTTGAATTTCATTATTTGCTTATAACTTTTTAATGAATGGTCCC